TCTCTGTTTTTCTCTCTTCTTCTTCTTTGCATTTTAGGGGAAATTTTGACATCTTAGGAGCTCTAGAACTTGCACCTGGAATATTCAATAATTATATCCAGGCTCATCCTCCTTCCAAAGTTAGACGTAAGGTGTATGAGTTCTCAGGGCTATTGCCTGATACTCTCAAATTTGAACTAGTACCACGTGGGGATATTTGGGCAAGTCTATTCAACAATCATTGTCCGGGTAAAGAAGACATAGGATTATATTTCTTTGCAAGTGAGAGAGAAAGGTCAGTTTCTGTCATATATCTATCCGAAAAGGGGTAAGGGTTGCAAAGTAGAAGTGCACCCTTGCCAGGAATGTTTTTAGTAGAAATTGATTTGTATTTCCCGTTGTATGTAGGTCTGAGATATACATTGCTCTGTTGGAGTTCATGCGTCTCAAAGATTTGGTGATGAAGACGCTTATCAATGATGTTGAGCTGCTTATACTTCCATCTACAGCCCTGTGTAGTGATTCTCAAAGTACATTCATAATCTCTATGTTCTTTTCTCATTTTCTTATTCCCTTTCAATGAATTTTTAGGTAATAGGTATATTCAATTATGCTCTGTAGAAGATCAATTTTCCAGCCTATCAGAAGATTTTGCCTTTTTAAGTTGGCGTTACTTGTTTGGTTTCGTTTGAGTATAAATGCTATAATGTGTTAAGTCATCAGGCCAAGCTCAGAAGTACTGATTGTGCATTCTCTGTTTTTTATGAGAAAGAACAGATCAATTATATGTTCCTTTTGGTCAATCAAGGGCTGAAAAATATGTAACTTGGATTGTTTAATCTGTAGTTTGTGTGCCTTGAATGTAGTTTAAGTTGTATCACGCAGGCATCTAGAAATTAAGTTTATGTACTTGCCTGAGTTCTATTGATGCATACTTTAGCTATGGAGGTTCATTAAAATTTTGGAATGCTGCCTTATACCCATCTACTTCCTCGTTTGCTCTTATCTGAAAACCACAAATGAGAAACCCTTCTTTACTTCAAAGGAGCTAAACGTAGGCATCGGGTCAGTATTATTAACTTTTTCCAGAAGTCTAGCTACGTATAATTTGCAACCCTGCTTCTAACAGTTTCTGTGTGTGATCCACTTTAAGTACAAGTCAGGTCAATTATTTTGTCTTAAACTTGACGGTTTTAATTGCTTGTTCACATATGACTGCAGCTCTTTGCAATAATGACACAAACTAATGGAGACAACTTTGTCATTAAATATTAGGTGTTTGTCATCTGATTGATATGTCAACATTGTCTTTCATGGATACCATTTTCATCCAAGATATTTTACGTAAGATCATTTTCTGTTATTTGGTCAGACATAAAGTTGGTGGATGTAATGGTGGTAGAAGGTGGAACTGGCATATTGATCTTGGTGTTTGCTGATGTGTAACTTATATTTGTACATATGTTGAAAAGAGCAGGTGATTTAAAATAGGACCTACCCTTCAAGATATGATTCTTTTAAGGAGACTATCTGATAATTAATTGCATAAGAAAGACGAAGATTAACTGATAATTCTGGAGCTGCATCTCACCTCGTGGATGTTCTTGCAGGATGGAACAGCAAGCACTTCCTGTGGGGATTATTTTACTGCATGGGACAAGATACAGACGGATGTGCTGAAGGGGGAAGCAACAAAGTAATCGATATGGAGATAGACATGATAGGGGGGAAAGATGTTTGTACAGCCAATGAGGTTGACATGGAGGCTTATCATCAGAATGAGGTTGAAATGCAGATAGACATGACAGGGCAGGAAGATGTCTGTACACCCAATAAGGTTGACATGGAGGGCTATCAGGATGAGGTTGAAATGGAGATAGACATGATAGCTGGAGAAAATGTAGGTACACTGGACATTGTTGTCTCGACAACTACCAGAAATGGTTTTGATACCTCTATAAAAGAAACTGCTACCTGCAGTGGGTCTGAATCAGTTATTCCTATGGTTTCAAGAACCTCCAAGGGTTGCAAGGAACTGCCTCTAGTAATCAAACACGAGCCTGTTGATGACTTTCCTCCAGGTTTTATTCCCCGTTCAGCTCCTACTAAATGAACCGCGCCACCTGGGAGTTAATCGTGGTTGCTGCCAACTTGTGATTATTACTACTTATTTTCAATCAATTTCATTAGGTGTTGGAGTTAGCTTAGCTAAGAGGTCTGTTCATGACAATTAGGTGGAAAACTGTTGTTAGTATTTCTTGTTGTTACTAAATTATCGGTAAGTAGGTCTGGTTTGTAAATATGTTGGTTGGCTATGTTAGAGCAACTATTTTCATGGCATATGTTGAAGGTATGTTGTTTGATCTGATTAAGTAATTTTGTTCAAATTTTATATTTATCTTAAGAAATTCATTAATATGTTTAAAGTATTTATATTTGGAGCTAATTGTTTGAATAAATGGAACGTTTCATATTAACTTCTGAAATGCTCATAATTTAGGAGCAAGTACTCTATATTGAACATATATTAACCAATTCATTTTTATTCAATGTGTTTTACTCAAGTTTAAATATTCTTTCGGACTTTCTCAAATTTAAATAAGTATTTTTCTTCAGTCATATTAACTATTTTCGGGGATTTTCTTAGGCTTTTTTTATACTTAAAGTTTGTTTTGTGAATTTTGACATCTGATGAACAACACACACAAAATTCAATAACGTTTTAAGATCTTTGTGAATTTTTCACCGTAGAATAAAATATTCTTTGATAATTTGATGTAAACTCGAGACAAACTCTTTGTTTTTTAAAAAGAAAAATCTTTTCATTCCCTTTAATTCCTCATATATATAAGTAAAATTATTGCAATTAATTGTGCAAATGTCCAAAAATTATTGACAACAAAGTTTTACTCATGTACAAAATTGAAAAGGAAAATGCAACGTAAGCTTAATAAAGTAGTTCATCATCGTACAAATAATTTATCTAGTTTAAATAGAATAAAACTTCAAACTCATAAGTATAAAATATTTCTTAAATATAGCTTTAATATATTTTTTGTATTGTTATAAGTTAGCTAACATTTTAAGCTTCATTTTCTTATAATAAGGTGCCATATAAAATGAAAAGAAAGAAAGTAATAGTACTCAATAAAAACCAAATTAATTAGCCTTTATTTTTTATCGGGACCATAACAACTCCATTAACATTAGACATTACAAAATGAGTTTCTTGAATCTATCCTTGCAAAGTTCAAAATCAAAATAACTAAATACATAAAAATGGCTGAATACACAAGTTTGGAACGTTGTTCAAATATCTAATTAAAAAATAATTATATATCACATAATTTTGTTGTAATAAAGGAATAATTTTAATTTTGAGAATAACGTTAAGAAATTTGATCCATTAGCTAGGAAGGAACACACTTTTTAGTTATTCTAATACCTTCAGGATATTTTTTATTCAATAGGTGGAAAAGGAGGAACGTTTCATTAAATAGGTGGAATAAAGACATTTTTTTAAACTATTGGAGTGTTTGGTATGGAGGAATTTCAATTTTCATAGGTTTGATTGATCAAAATATTTGAATAACATTTTATATAAGAAAACATTTAACTTTTGAAATAATATTATCTTGTTTACTTACCAAAAACTAAAAAATAAATAAGAAACTTATTTGTCTTCTAAAATAACATTTTCTAGAAAATAATTTTCCTTTATTTAATATGTTAAAGGTTATTTTAAAACCTTTTTCGTCTCATCTATTAAGCTTTTTAATGTACTTTTTTCATCTCAAATTAGAATCAAGTGACATCTTAAATACTCCCTCTGTCCCTAATTACTTGTCTATTTTCTTTTTATAGTTGTCCTTAATTACCTGTCCGTTTTGACAAATCAAGAAAGGACAATTTTTTTTACCTATTATACCCTCAATTAAATGATTAATTATTTTGAAAAATATAGAACTTTTCATCCACTTCATAATTAATAGGGGTAAAATGATAAACTCACTATGACATTAATTATTTTCTTAATATGTGTGCCAATTCAAAAATTGATAAGTAATTAGATACAGAGGGAGTATTCCTTATTTAATTAGGTCAAGCAAAGAAAAATTCTCGAAAAGGAAAGAACTAATATCGTAACTTGTGTTTTTTTAAAAAAAAAAATAGCACCAATAAGATTTTTTTTTATCGAAAATAGGAGTTACTTTTACCCAAAAATGAAGAAGAAGGGATCTCACATTAATGAATTCGATAAGAATGAGGTGTTCTTATAAATTCGAACAAAACAAAAAGGACAGAAGTTCCTAAAAAGAGCGAAATTATATTTTTATATATTAAATAAAAAATAGCACCAACATGATTTTCTTTTGTGAAGGGAACTTACCTTTAATGATTTGGATAAAATGAGTTGTTTGGATAAGTTCGAAGAAAACAAAAAGGACGGAAGTTTCTAAGAAGAGTGGTACTATTACGTTTTTATATTTTACGTAGAGCTCGTTTGGTGCGATGGATAAAAAAAATTAATCCTGCGATAAATTTTAATACCTCTCAATTCTTTATTTGGTTACAAAGTGTGGGATAACTTTTCTTAGGATTAATAGTTATGACTGACATAAGTTATCCCTATTTGTGGATGGAATACTAATCTAGGAATAACTTATCTCGGGATAAACATGTAAAATAACAAAATTACCCCTTTAAACCTTCTTTTATAAACAAACAATTTATTCTTAGAGGACATTTTTGTAAACACACAACTTAATCTTAGAAATTATGTCATGCATATTTGACAAACCAAACAACCAATAAAAATAATCTTAACATAACTAATGTCATCATAACTTATCTCAACATAATTTATTCCATCATAATTAATCTCAACATAATTTGTCTTCAGACCAAATGACCCTTAAGGTTTCCCTCCATTAAATTTCAATTTTCAAAACAACATTGGGCTTTGTGTAAAAAAGTGGACTTTTCTCTGAAAGGGCCCATTGCATAAATACGTCAAACTGAATTAGCATTTGCCAGTTTTGCCAATCAGTGTGTACTCACTGGGAAAAATTGATTTTCTCTGTCAATCTACTCGTCCATGGATTCCGATTCTTTTAGGTCGTCGGAACGACGACGAGTTGGACTGATATACGATGAAAGAATGAAAAAGCATTTTGATCCAATTGAAAAGGATCATCCGGAGAGTCCAGATCGTATTTATGAAATCTGGAACAAACTTCAACATTCAGAAATCGCTCAGAGGTACTTTTTCATTTCCTTTTCGTTCTATAACCGATTTTTTTTTAAAAATTAATTATTATTTTTTGGTTCAGATGTACTGTTATGGGGGGAAAGGAAGCCAAGGATGAACATATATCTTTGGTTCATAACAGAAAACATATAGATTTCATCAAAAGCATTAGCTCAAAGCAAGAGAAGTTCTGGAAAGAGATGACTATGAAGTACAATTCGGTATACTTCAATCAAGGCTCTTCAGAAGCAGCTTACATTTCTGCAGGTTGTGTGATTGAGGTAACCTCCGTGTTTCATTTTACTTGTCCCTTAAACAAAATGATGTTCTATTTTACTTGTTCATTTTAACAAAGCAATAGAATTTTATTATTTTTCCCCATACTAGCCTTAGTATTAAATAACTACAAGTTGTCTAATTTAGATTCCTAAAGCATCATTAATAAGCTTAGTTTAGTAAAATACACTTCTAATTAATGCTTGCTTAAGGGGTGTGATAGTCAACAACAGTGGCCAGGTAACATTAAACTGAGGTAGTGCTCAGGCTTTTTGTATAATCTGTCAGAACTTGTTGCTTTTCATTGGCTTTATACATGTTGTCTTCCTTTTTAATTGAGTATTTGGTTTGGGACTGTGTAAACTTTGTGCACTTAAAGGCATTTCGTAATCTGCTTTATGGATATTGTATTGTGGATCTTGTTCTTTTGGATGATTCTTTTGTGCTTTACTGTGTATTGTGATGATCAAATTTTAGTGTTCTCCCACTTTGCTGCATCTATGATATTCTTTAAAGCGTTGAACTTGCGTGTACCATACAGGTTGCTGAGAAAGTTGCTGAAGGAGAACTAGACTCTGCCTTTGCCATTGTCAGGCCTCCCGGACATCATGCAGAACCAAATCAACCAATGGGATTTTGTTTGTTCAACAATGTTGCTATAGCTACACAATATCTCTTGGATAAAAGAGTAAGAGTTAGTTTCAGTTAGTGAAACGTAGGTGGATTCAAATCTTTGATTAGTTTTGTGAATCAAATCAACGATTTTAAATATTATCTGGTTAATTTCCTCGCAGGCTGATTTGGGGATTAAGAAGATTTTAATTATTGATTGGGATGTCCATCATGGAAATGGCACCCAAAAGATGTTTTGGAAGGACCCTCGAGTTCTCTTCTTTTCTGTGCATAGGTACGTGTGAATGTGCTAGTCTTTATTGTATTTCTCAACCACTTGAAGGCTTTAGGATGTAAATAAGATGACAAAGAAGATTATTTGTTTAAAAAGGTGTCAAATTTAGTCTCTTATGGTGTATCATTGTTGGTCTTAATTAGGCACGATTTTGGAACTTTTTATCCTTGTGATGAAGCTGGGTCACATAAAATGATTGGTGAAGGACCGGGAAAAGGATACAATATAAATGTTCCTTGGGAGCATGGCGGTTGTGGTGATGCAGACTATCTTGCTGTGTGGGATCATGTCTTGATTCCTGTTGCCAAAGAATTTTGTCCTGACATTGTCCTGATCTCAGCAGGATTTGATGCAGGTTAGCTAGAGCTTGGTTTTATCCTCTGTGGGTCTTCTCATCATTTTCTATAGTGTTTCTCCTATCTCATCTTTTCTCTCTCAGCTTCAATTTTCGTTTTTAAGGTTTTTTCAGCAATTTAGGGTCTTGCTATTATTGGTTATCAATGTGGTTGATTGTTATTGATGTCTGCACAATGCAGTGTTTGAATCAATTATCTATTTTACTTTTAAAAAACATTTTCCTTATGTAGAGGGGCGGGCCCATTATCCACCGAGTTTAGAAGGCTGTGATTGGTCCAAAGGGCGGGTCACAGACGGATTTCTGGGTTATCAAAAAAAAATAAATCATTTTCCTTATACTTGATTTTTGTAGTTTCATATTTGATTTAAGATAAGGTTAACAGTGTTATCCTTAACCTATGAGACTAATCAGCTACACTTAGGACCGGTTTGTACATGATATGAAATCATGATTTGAAATCAGATTGGTAAAGTTTTATTTCGACATGCAATTTGGATTTCTTAAGTTGTAATTTTTTTCTCATAAACATGAAAACCCCACAAGTTGTGACTTCCATGTTGGAGGTCTCAAGTTCGAAACCCCTTGCCAGCGAAAACAAGGGGTTTGCCTTCTGGGTCGAGCTCGTCGCACCAGGCTTGCCTAGTGCGGGTTACCTCTCCTATGTGGTTTGCGAGCTATTGCATAGGAGCGAGGGTTTTATCCTGTGCGCACCCAAAGGGTAGTGGCTGTGGGTTTCCCTTGTCATAAAAAAAAAAAAACATGAAAACCCCACAAGTTGTGAAAATTATCAAAATTTCTCCAGTTCTCAAAATCAAAGATGATTTTTATGTAAAGCGTTGGGATAAAGATAGGATAATGGCTGAATGCGTCTGGTTTGTGATGCAATGTCCTTGTAAATGGAAAAAATGGTTGTTTTGTATACACATGCCTTCCAAAAATCTAGCAAGTAATGAAAAACGCTAGGATCTTGAGAACATGTGTGTACTTGGAAAGAGTGGTATGATTACTGCTATTTGTGTTTCCAGACAAATCCTTTTTCATTTTATTTCAATATTTTGCCCTTTTTATTAGTACAAGTCGAGCAAAAGGGAAAAGCCCTTTTTATGAGGCTTATCTAACTTCTAGCATGTTAGGAATGGGATTCCTAGGACTAAGACAGGTAAAGCCGAAGTATACATCCGTGAAAAAGAATTTACATGTAGAAAACTCATTTTTTAGGTATTTATATGACCTTATGGACTCTTTTGAAGTCGATTGATTTAATAGAAATAGAATTGTAATCCAAAAGGATTGGTGCATAGACACTGCTACTGATGAAAAAAGGATCTGGTCTTTCACTTTAATTGAGTATTCCTGCTATTTTGATTCAGAAACCTATCTCATACATCTCTATACATGTGTTGGTTCTTGAATCTTCAGTAGCTTTCTTGTCAAGACCTTTTGTCATTGGATATTTGGCTAAAATGGAGTAAGTTGGCAACGTGGGACGATGAGACATAGTAAAACCCCTGAACTAACATTATAAATTACTTTTTTATCTCTTTGCTCTTATGTATTTTGTCGAACTGCTATTCAAATTGGAAATCATAGTTTTCTTGCTGACTCATCTGATTCAACAGTCTTTAACAGTTTTGATGTTTAATTTGATAGCTATTGGTGATCCTCTTGGTGGATGTTGTGTTAGTCCACATGGATATGCTGTAATGTTGAACAAGGTGAGCTCTAAGTCACTGTTGCAAAGTAATCATTGATTTTTTTTCTCAATGAAAGTCTTTGTTTTTCTTCTGTTTATGTCATTTTCCGCCATTTATCCTTTTCTTGTGATTTGTTTCTATAAAGTACATGTTTAGAGACTTCACTTACATTTTTATTTGCATATTTTAGTTGTTGGAGTTTGCCGGAGGCAAGATTGTAATGGCACTCGAAGGTGGATATAATAAGGTCTCTATTGCAAATTCTGTGCAAGCTTGTATTGAAGTGTTATTACAGCAAAAACCAATTATTGGATCTTCAGAGGCTTATCCATTTGAATCCACATGGCGAGTGATACGGGCTGTAAGAATGTTTCTGCCCTAGCCCATTGTGTTTCTCCCTGTTTTCCTTTTTTCTAATTCATAGCCATAAAGTATATTTCTGGCTGAATTTTGTGTCTGTGAGCCAAATTTCCTGCATGTTAAGAGTAACAATATGGCCTTATGGTTTAAGGTGTGTGTACTTAATTTTTCATTGTACACCATAAATGTGTTCAGGTACGAGAAAAGTTGAGTTCATTTTGGCAATCATTTTCGGAGAGATTACCGGTGAAAGTAACTAGCATGAGCTCTCCTTACATTCAGGTCAGATTTCTTTTTCTTGCTATTTAAGTATCATCAATAACCTTCTCGAGAACAATCTCTCCAACTCAAGTTGTTGGGGCATGTATTGTAAGGCATATGTTTTGAGGCATGAAATATGTACCTTTCAGTTTTTATTTGTTACTATTAGAAAAATAAGAAAAATGTTTTTTTTTAGAAAATAAAAGATATAGTTAAATGAAGAACAAGAGATAGAAGAGATGGAGAAGAGGTTGTGATGCAATGAGTGATATGTTGTTGAGTTTAGAAAATTCTAGACATTAGGAATTGTCTGCCACTCAAAAACCTCTCTACCTTAGAGAAATGGGTAAGGTCAATGTACACTATACCCTCTTTACACCCTACTCTGAGGGACTACAGTGGGTATGATGTTGTTATCGTTGTAAAAATTGTCTGCCGGGGATGTAGACTTTGCTTAAACCTCAACATACTGTAGCCTCTAGGCTCGTAAAAGGCACCCGGTCCCATAAACATTGAGTGGAGTGATCCAAATGATATCAGCAATTCAAGTTCCATTAACAGTGGGCTCTGCTTTAGGCACTCCCATCATGACTCCATGCCAATCTGGTTGCTTGTTATAGAATGTTTATGGGACCAGGTGCCTCTTACGAGTTGCTATCATTTGGATCATTGCACTTCTTTTTTATAAACTTATGATAATCTATGTTGCTTGGACTCTTCGAAAATATTGCAACACATGTGTTGGATCCTTAAAAAATGCACTACTTTTGGGGATTCGACACGCACCTGTCAATATTTTTGAGTTTGAACAACATTGATGATAACAATAATGTCCTTTTGGCAATCATCTGTATATACATTAAAACTAGGCATAGAATAGGTGATGTGGCACCTTTCTATAACCAACAATTACGTTTTTCTTCTTTTTGACTTTTCTCTCCCCTTTTCCCTTATTATCTAATTAAAGGATTAATCATTGACTACCATATTTATTGAGAATCATTACAGATTAATCAATTAATTCTATATCAGTTACATGTGTTTTTTAATTATTTTCCACATAAGTTTCAAACACAATTTATTTCTCTCCTTATTTAAAGCTTTTACATAAAATTTCAGTTATAAAATTATTTTCACCCCATTTTTCAGAAATAGGTAAATTCTAAGCATAAGGTTGATGGACCAAGGCCATTTTTTTGTACTCACAACATTTTTATTATCTTAAACTCCTATTGAAACAACAAACTTTATTATATCAATAACTCTTTCTTCATTTTTCAAGACACCAAATATCAGCATCTGCGAAGTGGGAACCGAACACCAGGTGAAAAGTCAAAAGGAAAAAACGAGGTTCAAGGCTTCTATCAAGCGTTTTATACTTCTTTGATTATAAGTAGGGTGAAGCATGAAGAAGTAGAGAATTAGTAATTAGAACTTTTGCTAAAGTTCTGTCCTGCAACGACAACCTATTCGATACATTTTGCAATATCAACTCATGTATGAATGTATTTATTTTTTTCTTCTGTCATGTCTACCTTTTTTTTCATTGGAGCACTTCGAATTTATAAGAAAAAATAAATTAGAACCATATAGGTTATGGGGATATGGAAGGAAAATGAAGACGAACATAGATGCATCATTTCCTTAAATCTATAGATAATATTGATGTGTTTAATTCGCAATTAATGATTCATTTAGTTTGTTTCATATAGAGTAGCATTAGTCTATTCCATATATCATCTCCTTAAATCCATAGAGAATAACAATGTGTTGTTCTAATGGTAGTGAATATTACTTAAGGAATGAGATTTAAAAAATTGGGATATTCTTAAAATGTGAATAATGAGGGAATTGCCTTGTGATTTAAGAGTTTCTTTTCGGGAAGAAAGGAAGATGCCAAATGTATTAATTGTAGTTGTGTAACTATGAGAGGCGTGGTTCTAACTTGTGAGGAAGAAATGAAAAATAAATAATTGGAAAACAGAGGTATATAAATGATTTAAGTGTCATTTCCTTTTTTGGTTTTTATATTCAGGAATATATATTTTTAGTTCATTCTAATTTGATTTTTAGTTTAGGATTATATTTATACAAAATTCATATAAAAGAATAATGTAGAGGAATGCATAAAAAAGTATTAGTAGGGATTACAACATAACTAGTGAAATCTCACAAGTGAGGTCTGGAAAGGTATGCAGACCTTACCACTACCTCCTGGAGGTAGAGAGGTTGTTTCTGAAAGACTCTCGGCTCAAGTGCAACAAATTCAGGTACAAAAAAAAAGACTGTGAAGAGAATACAACAATAATAACATAACAATGCAAAGTCTATCGAAAAGGAGCCAAAAACAATAATACAATAATGTGATAGTAGAAACATACTAAACAATAAACTTGGATACATTAAAGAAAATAATAATACCAATGATAAACTCAACCACAATAATACTAAACACCAACCACCCTAAGCACAATAATACGAAACACCCCCTACTAACCTTTTACCCTAACATGTGTCCTTTACACCCTCCTATTTAAGGTCATGTCGTCGGTAACATGAAGATGCATCATATCTTGTTTTATCACCTCTACCCAATACTTTTTCGGCCTACCTTTGTCTTTTCTCGTATCATTTATCACCAAATTGTTGCACTTCTTCATAGGTGCGTCTACGCATCTCCTCTTCACATGTCCAAACCATCTCTCAGTCTCGCTTCCCTCATCTTGTACACCATCGAGGCTACCCCATTCCAAATAACTTCATTTCTAATCTTTATGGATTTAAGGAGATGATATATGGAATAAACTAATGTTACTATATATGAAACAAACTAAATGAATCTTTATGTGCTAATTAAGCACATTAATATTCTCTATAGATTTAAGGAGATGATATCTCTATGTTTGTTTTCATTTTCCTTCCATATCTCCATAACCTATATTGTTCTAATTTATTTTCTCCTATAAATTTGAAGTGCGTCAATGAAAAAAAAAGTAACATGACAGAAGAAAAAATAAATACATTCATACATGAGTTTATATTGCAAAATGTATCAAATAGGTTGTCGTTGTAGGACAGAACTTTAGCAAAAGTTCTAATTATTGATTCCTTTCTTCTTCATGCTTCACCTTACTTATAATAAAATAAATATAAAACGCTTGGTAGACGCCTTGAACCTCCTTTTTTTCTTTTGGCTTATCACCTGGTGTTTGGTTCCCGCTTCGTATATGCTGATATTTGGTGTCTTGAAAAATGAAGAAAGAGTTATTGATATAATAAAGTTTGTTGTTTCAATAGGAGTACAAGATAAAAAAAATGTTTTGTGAGTACAAAAAAATAGCCTTGGTACATTGACCTCATGCTTAGAACTTACCTATTTCTGAAAATGAGGTGAAAAATAATTTTATAACTGAAACTTTATGTAAAAGCTTTAAATAAGGGGAGAAATAAGCATGAGGTCCTAGAATGACCACACATCCATCCTCACTTTCGCAACATGTATCTTTTGGACATGGGAGTTTTTGACTGGCCAACATTTAACCCCATGCAACAATGTCGGTCTAACCACCACTTGATAAAACTTACCTTTGAGTTTCGATGGTATCTTGTTATCACACAGAGACAAGCCTCCACTTCATCTATGCTGCACCAATACGATATATGTTAATTTTGTCGATGTCTCCATTCCTTTGAAATATCTTTGCTAAATTGGTTGGTATTATATATTACTCCCTCCAGTCCTTTTTACTTGTTATATTTCGCTTCTTGAGAGAGAGTTAAACTACATGAACTTTGACCAACATTTTAAGATATATATTGTTTATCATATTAATATGCAAAGGATTGCAACTTATAGTATTTTTTCATATTGTTTTCCAATAGCTAAATTATAAATATTATATTGAATTATTCTGATTCAAGTTAGCTTCTAAAATTAATCAAGCTAACTCTTGGAAAATATTGTAAATGAAAATATTTATTTTTGTAATTTTCAATGCGTATTTGTGAAGCATTGTCAATTATATCTCGGATACTTCATGCTAAGTTGCTCGGGTGCGGGTGTCTGATACGAGTGCGGATCTAGAGGTTGGATCTTTCATGTTCTAATTTTTAAGATATGGATCCATGTGTGGATACGGGTGTTGGGATTCTGCTAAAAATAATTAAAATATCTAAAAAAAGAGTTATAAAACCTAAGTTATGAGATATTATGTGGAGAACTTGAGGAAAATCCTATAAGGAGATTAAAGGAAAAGGAGTGACATAGAAATTTCTATATAAAAGGTATTTCATTTTCTTCAATTTCACCTTAGCTTTTGTATAGATTTACAGAAATCAATTTTGGTTAAAAGTATCTACAATCAGACATGGATCCCACACCCACACCCGTGTCATGTCGACACGGGTGCGGCACCAATAGTGAAGAATCTAAGCAACTTAGACTTCATGTAAGATTTTATTTTGTTGATATTATTTTTGTAAATTCAGTGATGCTCTTTACATGACCGTGCAAAGTGCGGTTAAATTTACTACTGGTAGTAAAATACCCCTTTTTGTCGAGCTCTAGTTTTGGTTGCCATGTCCTTGGATCATTTTGTTGCCTTGATTCGTCAGTTCACTAATTAGATTAAGAGCTTAGTCCTAGAATTAGCGTTGGGAATGCTTTGTGCAAGTGTTAAGTTATGAGGTCACACATACTAACCAATGGATGCATTGTGTGCAAGTATCAGTTAAATATTGGCGTTGTGGATGGATTATTAAGCTTTACTATGCTTCCCAAAATAAATGAACTTTTTCATTCACAATGTGTCACCACGAAATCCCTGGGAAAACTTATGTAGGCCAAATGCTTGTTGCTCCTTTACTTTAATTTCATTTAATTCTTCTAATATGTGCAATGTAATTGTTTCTATATTAACTTTAATAGATTTTGTTACTTCTACTTCAGGTCGTTAGCTCTGATTCTGAAGATGAGTACAACACCTTTTCTAACAGGGTATCACAAGATTTGGAGAAGGATATTGAGAATGTAATACAACCATTTTCAGACCTGAAAGTTAATGATGGCACAGGCATAACAAGTATAATATTGTTTTCCCTTGCAAAAATTTGCTGTTTTATTTCTGGAGATGACTTTTAATCATCTTTGAATTTTCACAGGTCAAGCTAGCACTAATTCTCACACTTGGAGGGAAGAGCTTTCAAAGATTGATATATGGTATGCCACATTTGGATCAAATATGAAGTTATCAAGGTTCCTTTGCTATATTGCAGGAGGACAGGTATAGCTATAATTCATTCTTTGAAATGCATACATTCATTATAAACCTCCTGCACCAGAGAGTAGTGAGTTGCGAAAAAATATTAAACTGCTACTTTTGGCCACTCCCTCTCTAAGTGTATGGCTTTATTCTTCTTGAACTTCTACAACCTTATCGTCCTTCATAAATTCCAGAATGATCTTAAAACTTACTCATGTATAAACCGAATACTTGTGTTCTACAGTAGTATGGAAAAGTTGTTCTAATGGTTGATAGTTTCCTTTGTCAAGCAGAAGGACGAAAAATAGTTTTAAATTATAAAAATGATAAAGTTAATGATTAACAATCTGGTCCTAGAAATGCCAAGATTGAGAGTTCTAAACTGCACCTCAGCAGGAATTAGGTCACCCGTGTATGGTTTTTTTGTGAAGGTAGGTGTTGAGTGGTGAATACAGGATCACTTATGAAAGGATTGAGAAAATGGAGAGAGGTGTGGAAGGAGTCTGCAAGTTAAAATCTGTGAGCATAAATAGTTACTTGAAATGGTTGAAATTCCATTTTACTAGGAAATCTTCATGTCTTTGTCAAGTTTAAGGTGCTATCTATGTATTCTGCTAAAATAAAATTGGAACATCTCAATGATTGGGAGGTTCAAAGAGTGTCTGATTTCCTCAACAAACTTGATCAATTTCCTGGGGTTCAAGCTGGTGAAGATCATTTATGGTGGCAGGGAAACTCCCAAGGCATTTTTAAGGTCAGTGCTGCCTATAAAATTATGAATCAGTCCAACCACCAGATAGCAAACTTGCCATGGAAGCAGATTTGGAGGATAAAAGTTCCCCACAAGTTATTAATTTTTGTATGGTTATTGGCAAAGGAGGCCACTTTAACAGTGGACAACTTGATGAGCAGAGGTATGACACTGTGCTCAAGATGCTTCCTGTGTAAAGAAACAGCTGAGACAGTCAATCATCTATTTCTGCACTGTCTATACACAGCTCATTTATGGAGAATCATCCTAAACCTTAAGGGCTCATTTGGTGTGATGGATTAGAAGATTTAATCCCATGATAAATTTTGAGTGACCTTTAATTTGTTGTTTGGTTGCAAAAGTTGAGATAACTTATCCTAGGATTAACAATTAGTCCTGCACTGGGGGTGGAATAGTAATCCCAGGATAACTTATCCTGGGATAAAGGATGTAAAATAACCCCCCTTAAACTCTCTTTTATACACCACATTAATATTCATGTATATTAACATAATTTTGAACAACATTTATAATAACTTTCACAACCTTAATTATTCGTTGTTTTTATGATAATATATTTTTCTATTAAAAATTTACATTTTATAAATACAATTTTTATTTATGAATATATTATAGGTTGAATTTATTTGCCTAATTCTTATGTTTATTTATATTTTGATTTCTCTTAAAATGTTCACTCCACTACTAAATTACCTGTTTTTGATTAAATAGTTTATTACTCAGTAAAAAATATATTTTATATATCAATTAAAATGTAGATAACTTTAATAATAAATTTTCTCTAACTTTAACAAACTTAAAACGGAAGTTTTATTTTTAAGCTAAATAAGATGGAAGTTTCATTTTTAAGTTAAATAAGATGAAAGTTTAATTTTAAAAACACTCTGTACAATCATGAATATGCAGACACAAAAATATGTAAGCTAAATAAGATGTAAGTTTTATTTTTAAGTTAAATAAGATGAGTTTTATTTTAAAAACACACGGCACAATCATGGGAATACACAAAAATATTTAAGCTAAATAAGATGGAAATTTTATTTTTAAGAATGAATAACTAAAGCATGCAAAGAAAATGTAAAAACAAAAAAAACTAAATAAGGTGGAGGTTATTTTTGTAAACAAACAACTTATTCTTAAAAACTATCCAATGAATACAAGATTGAATATGACAAACCAAACAAGCAATAAAAATTAATTCCAGCATAACTAATCTCAACATAACTTTTACCAGTATAGCTTATCATAGCATAACTAATCCCAACATAACTTGTATTCAAACCAAATGACCCCTAAGGTTATAGCATGGACAATGCCAGGCAAGATAACAGAGGCTCTTAGCAGCATGGAACATGTTCACATGCTAAGGATAGGAGTAGATGGAGAATTGCCCAGCTTGTATCTGGTGGACAATTTGTAAGGAGAGGAATTTCAGATGTTTTGATAGCTTAAAGAAAAATGTGTTGAAGATCAACTTGAACTTCATCTTACTGCTATGCTTTTGGTGTAATCAAATTTACTCTAATGATATTGTGTTTGTGTCTATCATAGATGTTCTAGATTCTTTATAGCTAGCGAGGGAAGACACTAGAGCTCTATTGTAAATATGGTTTCAGAGTACTGTTTGGATACTTGATATGATACAAAGTTACTGATTTAAAAAAAAAAATGAAACAGCGTCCTAGTGCAATTAGAACTGAATTGTGTGAGAATATTTCTTAGAAGATAATAGTGTAGAACGTTTGCCGTGTTTATTGCCTCCTTGAAATGGTTTTACATATTTGGGTCATAATGATTCCGCAAAACTTTAATGACTCTCAGTTAGTCAGGCATCTTATGATATGAAACTAATTTAATGTTAAGATGAGATTGATGCTGATGAAAGGGTAAAGAGTATTGACCTTTCAGTGTGTCTCTACGTTCTATTTATGCATTCCAGGTGGAAGGCATGCGAAAGCCATGTATTGGTTCGTTGGATAAAAGCAAGCCAAAGGAGATCAAATGGGAATCTTTTCCCCATCGTCTATTCTTTGCTCGTGAGCATACAGCTACATGGGGTCCGGGTGGGGTTGCTTTTCTTCACCCTGAAAGCAACAGTGATGAAAAAGCTTACTTGTGCCTATATAGGATAACGTATGTCATTCTTTCCTTCATCTGAAATGTTTCTCCTTTCATGGTAATTAGGAGTTTGTCATTTTGTTGGCATTTTTTAATAAAGACCTTCGACTCTTGGTGATTTAGAATTATAACTTAATATTCTTTTTTCTTTTTACAGGCTTGAGCAATTTAATGATGTTTTACTTCAAGAGAATACTTCGAGCTTTGACATGAATTGCCCTTTGTTTGACATGACTGACTTACAGTCTATTGAAGAAAGAAAATGTGTTCCAGCTGAGGCTGTCAAGGTGTGATTTTATGCACTCTGTATTGTTCTCATGAGTATTATTCTCTTCACTCTCGTATTAATGGTTCAAGTAGAGCATATAATGGTTCAAAAACTATAAGATTCAAATGGGCATAAAAACAATGGTAGCATAAGATATAACCATATATTTTCTGCTAATTAGTCACTAATAAAATTCCAGGCTGTGATGGATGGAAAATTTTATGTATGTAATTCATGAGGATGTTCTCTCCCTGGCATCCGTCAGCGTTACACCTGTATTAATGAATTAGCCACGTAGGGATAAGGGTGAGATTTTGTACAATAATAACTTATCCATAGTGATCCCACAAGTGGGATATGGGGATGATAGAGTGTATGCAGACTTTACCCCTACCTTGTAAGGAAGATAGGTTGTTTCCGATAGACCCTCGGCTCAAGAAAAACATTTCAAAAATTAATTGAACTATTCATCTCATCAAAAAGGAACTGAAAGGACTGATATGGGAGGGATGAGGGAGATATGACCTTGTTGATCTGTTGAATCATAATTAGCCAAACAACATAGAATCATCAGTTCTCAGGGATGATCATCCGAAGACTAGTAAATCCTAGGAAGGAAACCATGAATTTGCCCCCAGATAAGCTCAATAGGTGGCCAATCTCATCACGGACTTTAAATTGTGTTAGCATCTCTCAACTATTAAGTTGTCAACAAGAATACTATATCTTGGGTCAAGTAAAGAGATGATGCCAAAAAAAATAATCCCAAGTAAAGATAAATTTATGCACTTCAAATGTCTGTTATTTTGTTAAAAACAGCAAACATAAGTTTCTCTTGTATCTTGAGTTTGTTACCTCTGCCAAGAAATTTCGAGCCTCTAATAACTTGCAACATCTTTTTTTCTATTTATGTTCAAAATCCTTTACCTGAGCTAAATCTGAGCCTGAATGTTAACTGTCTGGGGGTGTTGAACAGTTTGATAAGTTCCATTCTTTTTTAGTTTTTCAGAGTGAAATTTAGTGAACCCCAAATTTGCCGAACAACTTGTTTACTATTGAAATGAAATGAAACCAATGGAGCAGAATGGATATAAATGACACATATTGTCTACCCCAGCTGATTTAGGATTGAGGTAGTTGATTGATTGATAGTAAAAGATGATGAGTATTGCCTTAGAAAAGAATGTAAGAATCTTAGTAAGAGGGCATTAAAGCTTGATAACAGGACAGAATAGTTTTTATCCTATCCTAGTAGTGTTCATTCTTACCCCCTGCCCCAGACGTCTGGCCTTTTCTTGACATAACTCTGAGCTAGATGATTGTTCTCATTGTATGATTTTGTTTGACTTTCATGTAGAATGGCTGGTACCATAATGTGCTATACCTGGGAAAGGAGAATGGTATTCCTATTTTGACAATGACGTAAGCGTGTTGCCTTTAATTTTGTATGCTCTTTCGTTTATGTATTTTCTTGTCCAACTGAATCTCACCCATCACTTTTCTGCTTCTCTATCAGATGCCGACTGTCAGATGTTGATAACTTCAAATCAGGTAAAGTAGGTATGCGCAAACCATCTAAAGAATATGCCAATACTCTGATTAGAGGTTTGGTAGAAGGGAAGCAGCTATCAGAAGAGAAAGCCACCACTTACATACAAGAAGCAGCTAGCAGAGCATTGTGACTTGTTTGTATGTACAGTTGCGAATTCAGAGTGCTGTATTGAGTAGCTGCTAGACAATTATGTGATTACTATGCCTAGCAACATATGCACCAGAAATGTTATTGTACCATATTTTTTGCGGAAGCAACTTCTTCCCATTTGGTCAGGGTGTATATAACTTGTTCGATCAACGTAGATTTTTGTGTGTAAATTGTTTCTGGTTCCTTCTTTCATTGCAATATTTTGGCTTAGCAGTGAAATGTATTTTGCCCACAAACTACTCTGATCATGTCCATTGAATTTGGCAGTTAGTAGCTGATCCCAGTATTTGTGAATGAATGTGCGTGATTGTGTTGTTTAGAAACTTGCAAGTGCAGTTGTTCAAAGCGACAGTCTTTGGTAATCAATTATGGCACAGTTGCATTAATATTTAATTCTTTTTTATTCAAATCATCAGAGCTGAATAGTTTCTAAATGAAAACAGACCACTAAAGGCCTCAATTTAACCATAACGTAAATGATCCTGTTGAATATGAATTCTTGTCTATTGGTTCAAATCAAGAATTTTGAGCATACAGTTGAATCGAAGGAAAAAGGTAAAATTTTGAGCCCAGGTATTTAGACCCATCAATTAAGTGTAATCTACTGTCAAGATACAAAATTCTTTGGTTTTTTCAACTCATTTGAATATGGTATAAAATGATGATGCTAAATAGTACAAAATGATCTATAAACCATAAAGAATGAGGAACAAATAATCCACCCCAACCATCCAGCAATCCGCTTGAACAATATCACCGCGATTTTAGTTTAGCATGCCCTGTTGATCCTAGATGCTTGTGTAATTGATTCCTGTGGGGAGAACCAGATTATTAGATATGGAAAAGAAGAGGAAATATAAACTCATTAATCAAAACAAAGATTCATGACTGAGCCTGCACCTTGAATCGAATTCCTCCCCACATGTATCACACAAATTGCTAGAAGATTTCGATTTTCCCTGAATCCAAATGAAACTGTGTTATAACACATAATTCCAAAGCTTGGTTTCATACACAATCACATCACAAGACGACTAATATAAGGTTCTTAAAAAATTCACTTGAAACAGGAGGAGTAGATAACTGTGGAAATGGAGTTGTAAATTCTCAAAAATTATCGAAGAGTGTGGATAGGAATAAGAGATTGACATCAAACTAGTCAGGATTATCTTATTTGAGTACCTTTTGTTTCCTTCCTTTGGTTGCATCTTTGGTTGTATCTTTTGATTTGTTGTTTTTGTCTTTCTTTGTGGTAGTTTTCTTGTTTGTATCTTGACTTGGAACTTTTTCACTGTTTCCTGAAACATCATCTCCTTTGTGATCATTTGCAGTTTCTGCTGAAGACTGGGATGACAGCCCCTGGCAAGCTGAGCTATCATTTTTTGCATTATTTACCTCGACGCCAGTATCAACTTCAGTCACATGAGATCCTATATCTCCTCCTCCTGCTTCTTTTTCTTCTTGTGGTCTCCTGTTTCTTTGTTTCCTGCCACCCCTATTTCTCCTAGTACTCCTAAGATTATTATATTCCATGAAGTCCATTTCATCATTACTGGTTTCATTCTTTGCTGAAGTTTGCCTACTCCCACCTGAACCTGCATTTTTCCTACTTTTACGGCCAGATATCATAGCTTCAAGTATACTAGCTTCATCATCATCTAATCCAAGTTCATCAGCCACCCCCTTTAAATCACTGGCACTTTGATAATTAGTGGTCTCATCTTCATCGCTGCTCTGAACCTCATCATCCTGGAGCTCATCTTCTTGAATTCGTGTACTACCTTCTAAATGCTCTGCTAACTCATCCACACCATCATCAGCAGAAAAATCAGTTGTTCTATCAGCATCAGCTACATTTTGTTCCTCACTTTCCCCATCCTCCACCACCTCATCGTATTCATCATCTTCCTCATCAAAAGCTTCTCTCAAAGCTGCCACCTTCTCCTTATGCTTCTTGGACTGCTCGTGATTTTTCCACTGTTTCTCGCTCTTGAACTTCTTCGAACACACCACACAGTACAATTCATTCTCATCTGCCTTCTTTTTCTCATCCTCATCCGATTCCTCCTCAATTCCATCATCTTCTAACTCCTCTGCTTTCGTCCACTCAGGCTCTACGTAATTTCTTGCTCTCTCAGCCTTGTCTCTCTCCAGCTCCTTCCTTCTCTTGCGTTCCTCTTCCTTTTTCTTCTCCATTTCCTCGTTCCTCTTCATCTGCATGTCAATCACTCTCTTATCTCTCTTTTTCACAAACTCTGCTAATCCTCTAACAGTCTCATTGTATTCCCTTCGCGCCTTTTTCCTCAGTTTCTTGTTCTCATCCTCCATCACCCGCCTGGACTTTCTATTAGGTCCTGCCATCACGTCATACTGATCTGCCCAACAAAAGTCCATCACAGTAACGAATCCTAACCAATAGCTATAGAATGCAGTCACTTGAGCATAAGGACTCTCCAAATTTCCCATGAGAGGAGCTTCTTTTGGCAAATCTGTACCTAACTTCCTCGCGAAATTTAAATCGTGTTGGTAGATTTTCTCGAAGAGATCACCATACACCTTGTAAAATCCCTTCCCTTTATCTGAATATCCAGAATACACTGAATTTGAAAAGAAGGAGAACAGGTCGGGGACAGAACCAGAGTTAGACGAATTCCCTGGACCGGAATTAGAGAAGAGTATCTGAGAACGGTGTGAATCGTACCAAGCGCGCTCCCGTGCGTCCGACAAAACTTCGTAGGCATTCACAAGCTCCTGGAATGCAGCTGTTGCTTCGGATTCCGGCACGCCGGATCGAACCAGCTTGTCAGGGTGGCGTTGCAGCGCGAGCTTTCTGTAAGCGGACCTGATCTCATCGGCGGTGCAGTCTCGGCTCACGCCGAGGACCTCGTATAGGCACCTTTTCTCCGACGACGACTCCATAATCGCCGGAAAAGAAAGTATTAGGTTTCTTTCCTCTTGCTTGGTTAAGCGCCTGAAGCTAGGGGATTTTTAGGGTTTTTCGATGGGAAAAATAGGAGGTTAGTCACTTAGGGGCTGTTTGGCTGGAAAGGGTAATGGTGCCGTGTTTAGAGCAGGCTCCAAAACATGGTAAATACTCCATCTGTCCCTAATTATTTGTCCACTTTTGAATTGATACATCTATTAAGAAAATAATTATTGACATAGTGACTTTACCATTTTATCCGTATTAATTATGAAGTATATTAATTAAAAAGTTAAGATTTTCAAAAAGTTCTACCTTTTTCAAAATAATTAATTGAGGGTATAATAGGTAAATTTTTTTATCTTTTCTTGATTTATCAAAATGGATAAATAATTAGGGAAAAATTAACAAGTAATTAGGAACAGGGAGTACATATTAGGAAAGCGAAAAAATCCATTAATGAGTAATGTAGCAAAAAGAAGTTCAATTGAGAGGCATGAGTTTTTGTTCAATGACTCTTATTGGAGCAATCATATTCATAAAATTACAAAATCAAATTCGATTAAGATTATAATTTAAAAATTTATTACAAAACCAAATTCGATTAGAATCAGGATTAGGAAATTTATTACTAAACTAGATATAGGACCCCGTGTCAGCACGGGGATTGTAATTTATAGTTTCTTTTTCGTCAATTTCAAACAATATATGTTTATCATATAATCCATTTTATGTGGTACCAATAGAATTTAGAGAGTTAATTAAATTTTTTATATAAGTTTTAAATAATTAAGCTGTTAATTATTGTAATGTATAGTATTACTTATATTATTTTTAAATATATTTAAATATTATATGTTAGGTTTTTTATCCTAATTTATATGGCATTGATAGAATTTAAAGTGTCAAATAATTGTTAATTATTGTAATAGATAATATGGAGTATTTAAGTCATTTATAGTATAGTAATTAATATATAATATGTAGTATTTAAGTGTTATATTATGGAATTTGAGAAGTTATTGAAATTTTTATATGATTTTAAAAATATTTTAAATTGTTAGCTATTGTGATTTGTAGTACTTTTTTTAACATAATTTTGAAAATAATATTTATTACTCTGTTTGTTCTAATTTATGTGGCAGATGCAGAATTTCAAATATTAACCCTTTTTTATATGTCTCTTTAATATATTAAGTTGTTAATTATTGTATTTTATAGTACATTTTGAACCTAATTTTTTAATAATATATGTTATTTGCCATGTCCCAATTTATGTGGCATTAATTGATAGATTTGTTGGAGTCGAGAGATTTATTTTGTTAATTATTGTAATTTATAGTTTCTTTTTCGTCAATTTCAAACAATATATGTTTATCATATAATCCATTTTATGTGGTACCAATAGAATTTAGAGAGTTAATTAAATTTTTTATATAAGTTTTAAATAATTAAGCTGTTAATTATTGTAATGTATAGTATTACTTATATTATTTTTAAATATATTTAAATATTATATGTTAGGTTTTTTATCCTAATTTATATGGCATTGATAGAATTTAAAGTGTCAAATAATTGTTAATTATTGTAATAGATAATATGGAGTATTTAAGTCATTTATAGTATAGTAATTAATATATAATATGTAGTATTTAAGTGTTATATTATGGAATTTGAGAAGTTATTGAAATTTTTATATGATTTTAAAAATATTTTAAATTGTTAGCTATTGTGATTTGTAGTACTTTTTTTTAACATAATTTTGAAAATAATATTTATTACTCTGTTTGTTCTAATTTATGTGGCAGATGCAGAATTTCAAATATTAACCCTTTTTTATATGTCTCTTTAATATATTAAGTTGTTAATTATTGTATTTTATAGTACATTTTGAACCTAATTTTTTAATAATATATGTTATTTGCCATGTCCCAATTTATGTGGCATTAATTGATAGATTTGTTGGAGTCGAGAGATTTATTTTGTTAATTATTGTAATTTATAATTTGTTTTTCGTCAATTTCGTCGACTATTTTTTTTATTAATTATTGTAATTTATTGTTTCTTTTTCGTCAATTTCAAACAATATATGTTTATCATATAATCCATTTTATGTGGTACCAATAGAATTTAGAGAGTCAATTAAATTTTTTATATAAGTTTTAAATAATTAAGCTGTTAATTATTGTAATGTATAGTATTACTTATATTATTTTTAAATATATTTAAATATTATATGTTAGATTTTTTATCCTAATTTATATGGTATTGATAGAATTTATAGTGTCAAATAATTGTTAATTATTGTAATAGATAATATGGAGTATTTAAGTCATTTATAGTATAGTAATTAATATATAATATGTAGTATTTAA